TTGCCCTACACAGTTACCTTGTTTAATTTCTTAATTCAAGTTATATATATTTTGTTCTATTTGTGTTATTTAAGTTATTTATAATAAGTGAAGTTTACTGTTAAGTGCACTTAAGTGTTTACTGTTTAAGTCTTTACTGTTAAGTGCACGAATGGGAATTGTTGCCAAACTTTTGACTATACTGTACTATAATATAGCCTAAACATAAAGAATATCGGCCAATATATCGGTATCGGTATTTTTTTATACCCTATTATCGGTATCGGCCCCCAAAAAACCAATATCGGTGGGGGCTCTATTAATTTCTTCTAAAAAAACTTTGAAAAGAGAACGTAAATAGTATTTATGAGGTTCCCCACTAGGATGGTGTTTAAGTCTTTACTGTTAAGTGCACGAATGGGAATTGTTGCCAAACTTTTGACTATACTGTACTATAATATAGCCTAAACATAAAGAATATCGGCCAATATATCGGTATTTTTTTACTCCCTATTATCGGTATCGACCCCCAAAAAACCAATATCGGTCGGGCTCTATTAATTTCTTTTAAAAAAACTTTGAAAAGAGAACGTAAATAGTATTTATGAGATTCCCCACTAGGATGGGACTGGTATACCATTATCTATACTTTTACTGTACTATAAAAATAACAGAGAACAGAGTAAGTTGCTGTGGGAAAAGTGTATGATCCTAAACATGACATGCATTGTTGTTTAATACATTTGACACCTGTTTTCCTTAGTGTATAGCTTGTGTCTTAAGGTTGTGTCCTTATCTGTAAATCTTTGAAATTCACGCACATATTTCCATTTTGCATAAAGGCTCATCCTGACAGCTGTCTGTCTATAAAGTGAGTGAAGTGAAGTGACGTGTGGCCAAGTATGGTGACCCATACTCGGAATTTGTGCTCTGCATTTAACCCATCCAAGTGCACACACACAGTAGTGAGCACACACACACACACACACCGTGAACACACACCCGGAGCAGTGAGCAGTTGGGGGTTCGGTGCCTTGCTCAAGGGTCTCACCTCAGTCGTGGTATTGAAGGTGGAAGAGAGCGCTGAGAGCGACAATTCCTGCCGGACATGAGACTCGAACCCGCAACCTTCGGGTTACAAGTCCGACTCTCTAACCATTAGGCCACGACTGCCCCGTATGAAGAGTATTTTGCAGCTAGTTGCAGCAGCATTGACAGGCCTTTGTTTGTTTGGTAAAGCATAGTTAAATAGAAAATAAAATAAAGAAACAAGTTTTGTTTTTCTTCCCGCTGCTATACCGAACTGTTCCTGTGACTTAAAAACTGAGGTAAAGATAGTGTGTGTGAGATTTTCCCCTGATGTAAACTTCAATAAAGCATTAGAGTTTGGAAAAGATGCCTTAAACATTTTTAACTAAGACCTGTGTACTGCAAACCACCTTTTATGAGTAAGTGTTCAAAATAGCCCTGTCTTTGCTACTCATGTTTCATGGTTCTGTGTGTGGCCTGTAGGATTACTGAAGCCACATTTATTACTATTATGGGAGATCATGCCAGCCACTGATGAAAGATCTGTCTTAGCATATTATCCATACATACACATCCTTGTCAGCTAATTGTGCAAGACAAACTACTGGGTTAGCAACACGCCAAACACGCACAGACACATGTGACGCTGGCGGCCCAACTCATCTGATCTGAGATCTGTGTTACTGACCTCTCCTGCCACCAATTATGCTGCCTGCTGTTCTGAACTCCAGAGGGTTGTTTTGTTTTGATGAGAGGAATGGAGAGCGGTGTTAATAGTGCTGTAGTGACAGAACAGGTGCTGAAGCACATCCAGCCTATCAACACTTGATATCTGAACTGCTGTTAGACCCGTCCAGAGCAAAATGCCCTGCAAATGGTTTGCGTGTAGCCCGCTGAGAGATAAGACTCGTCCTCGTCCTAATTTGGCAAAGAGACAAGAGTGTAGAAAGTGTGTTTTGTTTGCTGTTAAGGCTTTTTCACACAGAGCATGAATTTTCTATTCTATAGAATCTTCACATCTAGTGCAAAAATTCACCCTGCAACTCTTTTAGTCATGCAGCTGTCTGCTGAGATGCTCATACCATTGGCCTCTAAGTGCAAGGAAAATATATGTGACCCTGGAGCACAAAACCAGTCGCTGGGGCAATAGCAATAGCCAAAAATACATTGTATGGGTAAAAATGATTGATCTAACAAACCATACATCAATGGAAAGCTTATTTATTCAGCTTTCAGATGATGTATAAATCTCAATTTCGGAAAATTGACCCTTATGTCAATAATGGTTTTGTGCTCCAGGGTCACATATTATAAAATGATCTTGATGAATCACGTTTGAAACTATTGCAAAATGTGTGAACACGCTTCATTTGAATTCTATATTAATGCAGCCGATTCCAACATTGTTTCTAGGGCTTCACAGTATATTGAAATAAAAACTATACGGTGATGTAGCTTAATATGATAGGCTAATCACGAAGGCTGTGATTTAATTAAATAAATTCACAGTAAATAAACCTAAGCTGCTCTGAGACATTGAAACAATGACTCTTATCACGAGCTGCATGTGTGCAATTGAACACAGGGCCAGGCTTCACTTTGAAAACATTTATTTATTTACCAGCAAACCACCAAAATAACTGTACACTGTGTCTACATCAGATGTGCATGGTGTAGTGCGTAGTGTCATAAATGGCTTCCATTATAATCAGTTCTTGGTGTTAAGTAGGCTTTTAACCTCTCTTGATGGTAACCTGCTGTGTTGTTACTTTAGAAACCTAAGCAGATCAGTGTCCTGGAGCACAGGAATGATTAAATGAGTCTCTCTCATTTCATATAGTCCTGCTTTCTACGCAAGGGATTCCCTCTAAAAGATTATCGCTCCATTACCATCCATCTGCTGCGTAACACACTGAGCTTTAATCAGGTGTTTGTGCTCAGCAGAGGCTGCTGGATATGTGGATTTCTCTCTGATCATCCCGCTGCTGTTGTCTCTGGCTGTGTCGGTGGCCCTTGTGGTACTGCTGCTCAACTGTGCTTCCTGCTGCAAAGAGCAAGAGATCAACTTTAAGGTGAGTGAAATGCTCTCTCGCATCATTCTGTGTCTGAAGTCTATATCGTTTGTAGCAATTTCTGTCTTTACCGTTTGAACAGTTCAAGAGTATTTCTTGATTGTCGCTAGTTTTCATTTAAAATGTGATTCAGGAGTTTGAAGACCACTTTGAGGATGAGGTTGATTTCACACCCCCAGCAGAGGACACCCCCTCTACGCAGTCGCCTGCGGAGGTTTACACACTCGCTGTTCCACCTGTGCCCCTCCCTGGACCCCCTCACCTCCAGTTGCCCCGGATAACAGGTCAGAAACATGTGCCTTGCCCTCTCAGCACATCTGCAAATGCACTCTTTTGCATTGAGTACAAAGATATTCTAGTATTCAAAGTTTGGGGGTCTGCGAGATATTTTAATGCTTTTGAAAGTAGTCTCTTATGCTCACTAAGGGTGCATTTATTTGATCCAAAATACAGTAATAACAAAAATATTGTGAAATATTATTACCATGTAAAATAACTGTTTTCTATGTCAATATATTTTAAAATGAAATGCTAAGCTGAATTTTCAGCATCATTACTCCAGTCTTCAGTGTCACATGATCCTTCAGAAATCATTCTAATATGCTGCTCAAGAAACATTTTTTTTAATTAATATCGCAGTTAGGGTTTTGTGGAAACTATTTTTTTTTAGCATTTTTATAATAGAAAGTTCAAAAGAACAGCATTTGTTTTAAATATAAATCTTTTGTAGCATCGTAAGTGTCTTTGCTGTCACGTTTGATCAATTTAATGTATCCATGCTAGATAAAAGTATAAATTACTTAAAAAAAAATTTTTAAACTTTGCCCCTAAACTTTTGAATGGTAGTGTCAATCAGCTCGTTTCATGCTCCTCACTGGATTTCAATGTGTGGATCATGAGCCAGAATTTAGTGCAATTTTGCAACTTTAGTAAACCGTCATTCGCCATAATAAACACGCTACCTTCGAAGATGTATCAAACATTTATCCATATGACATTGCTGTATGTGTGCACGAGTAATTGATATGTACTGTGACATAACCTTGTTTATTTTATAAGTGCATATTATTTGAGAAACAAAATAAAAGAAAATCAAAAAAAAAATCCTTTGCATCAACTATTGAAAATCATTTTATGTATGGGAAAAACTGGAGAACATACAGCATTCTAAAAGATTTAAGTATGTTTTTTTTTTTTTCTCTCAGCACGATTAATCAGAAATATTGTTGGGACGTGGAGGCTTCGGTGACAAGGTGCATGGTACACATAGTTAACTTGACAAACAAACACAGCCTGATGTGTTATATTACATCTAGTGAGAATAGTAAGAATAAACATCAGTGTGACCTATGATCTCAAGAGTTAATGTGAATGTGTGATGTGGTGTAGCAGGCAGATCATGAGGCAAGTAAACACTGCACTGCATTAAAAAAGCATGAATTAAATTGAGTAAAACACACAGCGCTGAAGTCTACATTTACTGGATGAAGTAGATTAACTGCTTTTAAAATACTTCTGAAAGAAACCGTATTATGATGAATAAAGGGTCAGCCTTACAATAACCACTTAGGAGTAATTCTGTTGGCTTTCTTCTTCAGGACATTCGTTTTAAGCGTTGTATTCAGAGTAGCTGAAGCATTACAGTGACTTTTTCCTTTTCCTTTCGTTTGCTGTTTATTTGGTCGCATTGATCCTTCTCAATGTTTGTCTGATTTTCGGTCTTGTAGACGTCTCATCAGGTCCTCGCGTGGCTCGACACTCTCTCAGTTACATTCAGGAGATCGGGAACGGCTGGTTTGGAAAGGTAAGCTTGTCTTCCTGTGTTTATATTGTACACTGAAAGTGTGAAGGTGTATTGATAGACTTGGGTCTTGCGACACACATTGTGTGAAAGCAAAGCAGTGACTTCTGAAGAATTTGTCAAGGACAAATGTACAATTTCTCCTGAGGATTCGTCTTAAATAATCACATCTCGTGATCTTGTTAGTACTTGCTCTCATCTCTATGCCGGGGGCCCTCAGGGGCCAGAGTTTGACGTTTACGAGGGAGCATTATACGGCACTCAGGCTGTCCTCCTGCAGCCTGTGTGTGGATGTGTTTACCGAGATTAAGACTTAAGGGAAAACCTTGTTTCCTGATGCTTTTTCCTGCCTAGCTGAGCCATGGGAACATCCTCGTCTGAGCCACCTGCTGTGCTGTGATACGCCTAACAGGCCTGGTTTGCGGTTCCTTTCAAAAGCACTTGTCAGTGTTGGATTGGTCCATTGTGGTGTTCTTTATCGAAGTTATTTCTCTGTTTGTCTGGTTCTGACAGGTTCTGCTCAGTGAGATCTATGTGGACCCTGGAGTCGCCCAAGCGGTTGTCAAAGAGCTGAAGGCCAACACCAGCTCCAAAGAGCAGAATGAGTTCCTGCAGCAGGGAGACCTGTACAGGTGAGAGGGCCTTTCATTATTATTTATTTTAACATTGATTATTTCAATAGTTTTGATCTACGTTTTACTGTAAGCACGTCAACTTTGAAACCAAATAATGTAGGGCGGGACTTGAGTTTATCCATTGGGATTTGGTTGGCTTGTGACTGGGTAAATCATGTTAGGCTGTGCTTTTATTAGTGGTGTTTATTAAAGGGTTAGTTCACCCAAAAATTAAAATTCTGTCATTAATTACTCACCTTCATGTCGTTCCAAACCCGTAAGACCTTCGTTCATCTTCAGAACACAATTTAAGATATTTTTGATGGAATCTGAGAGCTGTCTGGCCCTCCCATAGACAGCAAGGTAACTACCACGTTCAAGGTCCGGAAAAGTACCAAGATGATCGACAAAGTAGTCCGTGTGACATCAGTGGTTCAACTGTAAAGTTACGAAGCTACGAGAATACTTTTTTGTGCAAAGAAAACAAAAATGACTACTTTATTCCACATTTTCGTCTCTACTGCGTCACTTTGGACGCGCGTTCCCGACAGTATCATGACGCGAGCGTGTGGCGGCGCTGACCCAGATCCGGCGTAATGACCTCATCACGCTTGCGGCATGATACTGTCGGGAACGCGCGTCCAAAGTGACGCAGTAGAGACGAAAATGTGATTCCATCAGATTCCATCAAAAATATCTTAAATCGTGTTCCGAAGATGAACGAAGGTCTTACGGGTTTGGAACGACACAAGGGTGAGTAATTAATGACAGAATTTTCATTTTTGGGTGAACTATCCCTTTAAGACAAGCTTCGCTAATATTACCGCTCATATACGTTTTATTCAAACCTCTAACTGTAATTATTAGATGTCATGTATTACTTGTTTTATTACAGACGTAAACAGTGACTTAAGATCATGATGCTTGGTGTGGAGAGTTGTGTTATTACATTACTAAGAGATCAGACTTTCATTTAGGGAGGCACTCCTATCATATCTAGACTGCAAATATCACAGAGATGGGTTTGTTTGACTTAAGGTCGGATCACAACCCACCCAACCCTCCAAAAGCAACCATCCTACCACTTACATTTTGTTTAGAAAATGTGAGAAAAAAAAAAACTTGGTTACATAAGCAGAAAATAATTTCTGGTGGAGATCTGTTTTTAATTTTTAGTGTTCTGTTATGTATGGTTAGATTAATGTTTTTCATTAATCGTGTGTTTACAGGGTTCTTCAGCATCCCAATATACTGCAATGTCTTGGTCAGTGTGTGGAGGCCATCCCTTTCCTGCTTGTTTTTGAGTATTGTGAACTGGTAAGTTGATTTTATAAAATACACCTATTTTCAGCATCATTACTCCAGTCTTCAGTGTCACATGATCCTTCAGAAATCAGTCTAATATGCTGATTTGCTGCTCAGGAAACATTTTTCGGGATTCTTTGATGAATAGACAGTTTAAAAGTACAGCATTTATTTGATATAGAAATCTTTTATACACTATACATTATACGTCTTTACTGTCATTTTGCTTAATTTCATCAATCCTTGCTGAATAAAAGCATTTTTTTTTAAAAATCTTACTGACCTCAAACTTTTGAACGGGATTGAATATATTCTCTAATTTCCATTTCTGCTGCCTTCATGTTCTCCAGGGAAGTTCCTACAGTAGTTTGTTTTAGTATATTTGTGTTGGTTAGGACAGGAAGCCAGTGCGAACGATACAACAGAGATTTTAGAAGAGACCTTAGTCTGAACACGTTTAATTTGATGGGTTTGTAAGATTATAGAAATGTATTTGAAAAGTTGTATCTCAAAGCTGAATTTTTTTTATTTCTTGGCTCTCTTTGCCATCTATTCTGACTCTGGTGTACCAGTGAAAAGACTCATCAAGATCATTTTATAATATGTGACCCTGGATAAGACTGCTTTTGTGCTCCAGGGTCACATATGAGGAAAGCGGATAAGCAGATGCAAGTCCTTTAGTATAAGAATGAACAGTGTGTATTGCTTGTTTATGGGTTCAATCAAATCTTTAGTTCTTTTAAACATCCTCATTGTGTTTGGTACTCATTATTCATCTTTATTTTGATCAGCCATCTATTAGAAAACATCTGTTTTTTAATTCTTTGGCATCTGTCTAGCTCTTTAGATCATCTTTTCTTGCACTCTTGTAAGCACCTGACTTGGCGGTTGTGGAATCTTGTTTCACAGCCACACATGGCATCTCAAATTCTTATCGGACAAGTCTGATGAAAGCACAGATAGGCCTGCTCCAGCGTACCTCACGACTTCATTTGTTCCCAAACGCTAGCATCCGTCATAAGTTACACAGCCAGTGTCTCTCAGTGGGCTGCTTCTTGCCCTTTGATTTATTTTCTGTTTTTCGTGATCTATTTCGGGTGTGCTGCTTGCGTCTGAGACGGATATGAGCCACATAACTGCATGCAGTAGGTAGCTCTCCGATTCCCTCATATCCCAATAAAGCAACAGGATTCTTTTACTGACACTCGCACATCTTGCTGCGTTGGTGCATTTTATCACCATGCTGCAAAAGATACTAAGAACTAGAATATGATTGTGAAAATTATTTTCCTGTTAACTTTGCTTGAAGCTTTGTAAAATATTTTATAGCTACTTTTTTCGTGCAAATAATTAATGCATGTAAAAAATAAACAAACCAGCAAAACAGACTTGCCTCAAAAATGTTTGAAAGCAATGATCTTATTCTGAGGATGTCTTTACATGTAGTCTTTTTTTGGTATTAATGAGATACTGTTGTTTTTACTTTAATATTTTTTTGTTTTATTTAAATTTCTGTTAAAGTTTACATTTTTTGTGCTGTTTTTTGGGGTTATTTTTTAATGTCAATATAGTCTTTAATATCTTTTTATTTCAGTTTTAGTTATTTTAGTGCATCAAGTTAAAATTTGAAATGGTTCCTTAGGAACTGGTTGAATTAAAATGTTTTATTTCATTACATTTTTCAGTTAACATATGTTATTCTAAGGCAACAAGGTTTCAGTTTTAGTTTTAAATAACTATAAAATATCTGCGTTAAGTTACATATCAAATACTATTACTAAAGCTAAAGTGCTACAGTAAAGACACACTGTGTTCTTACAAGTCTCAAATGTGCTCAAACAAAAAAACAGATGCACATGTTGACCACAAAGATGGAGTCTTGTTACTTTCTTGTCTATTAATCTGCAGAAGCATAATAATAATAACACTAATTATGAGACATACCAGTTCACTGCTCAGTGTTTGCACAAGCTAACTAAATCATCTGAGACTGTATTTTGTAATTCCTTTCAGTTTCTGCGGAGGTTGACTCCGCTCACGCGCTGTAAGTAGTTAGCTGTGTGTTAATCCCTCAGCGGCGGTGGTTAGGAACATTCTGCACACCTGACCAGTTGTTAGGAACAATGCCTGTGGTCTGGGATCCTCTGGGCCTGAGCAGGTGGATGGCTTCGAGCCAGAGAGACCGAATGAGCTCACTGCAGCCCACTGTTGCGTAATGCAGTCTGGGTCGTTTCCTTAGCTGGTGTTACGGCTCGTGTTTCTTCCCAAGTTAGAGCGTAGCTTCACACATAGACCTGTTTGGTTGTACGGTCCTACAAAATCTCATCTAAGAAGAATAATGGAGAAGCCTGGGCATTTTAAAGACAGCTGTTCACTGCACAGTTCTGGCCTCGATTCCATCCCAGACCAGCTTGTGTGGGATGAGTACTCGTATTGAGAGGTTTGGTTGAGGTAGTCAGTGGCTGTGTTCTGAAGAGCATAATACTTGTATTATTTTTCAGTGTGTAGTATGTTTACCATGGACAGTGTGCAGTTTTCTGGATGCACAATGTTGTTCAACCACACTTTCTCTTTCAAGCCTCAAATTTCTGTTTCTTTCTTGACTCATTATTTTATCAGACTGGCAAAAATAACAATATTTCCAAGATAACCGGATCCCAGTCGGCTAAGTAACCAACTTGGGTCGTGTGACCAGTCCTAGTGCATGATGTTTACAGTTTCACAAACACAATTGTGCAAAAGTCAGTAAAAGTTTTTAATATTTTTTGAGTTTCTTCTGCTAACCAATTTCTTTCGAACAGTAGTGTATTTATTTATTATGTCTCATACAAGTGTATATTCTCAAGTATGCAGTAAGAAGCAAGCTAGTGCTCCATTCTGAACATATCGCACCATCTCTCCTAATGAGAGACAGCTGCTGGTCTACTCATTTCCAGTTTGTAAGGTGCAACGCAGGAAGTCCTTTTTTTTAACTCTCTATGTCCCATCACTGTGATTTTCATCTTTTATCTTATATTAAAATGTTTGCTGAATGTGTCACTCTTCCGAGGTCGAGAGAAGCACATTTGGATGGCTGATTTTCTTTGTGTATCGCTGGTTACCACTGGTAACCCTGACACGGTGCATTTTAGAGAGAAATATAGCTGCAGGGTGCAATTGGAGCTGGTTTGCAGTATGCCAGTTGCTCTCTGATTGAGTGACAGTCTCTCCTGTAAAGGCTTTCTTTAGGGAGCTGCCGTGTATGCGTGTTTATGTGTTCAAAGGCAGACCAAGCCCCTGGCAAGGTTTACTGAGATCTAAAAGTAATCGTATGTTTCTCAATGCTGTGCACTTAAAATGACTTGGAGAGAATATCTGCTTGCTTTTTTCACATTCAACCCTAAAAACGTATGTATTTTCAGTATTTTAATGGTAATCACCAGTGAGAATAATGGGAATTACAAAGAAACGTTAAAATAATCATACTAAAAAATAGGCATCAGTTTCACTTGCCAAAATGCAGTTTTTCCCTTTTTTCCCCATTAGATTTTCACAAGATGTGCCTCCTTTTGTGTAAATGTTTAGTAACTCACATATGCTTTCATTCATGTCATCATGGAGTGGCCATAACTAAAAGGGGGAATCATTTTTAAAAATTGATAAATGGAAGGCAAAACCGTTTCCCAAGATTTTTGTTCCGTGCAAACAAAGCTCCTTAACCAGTTTGCTTGCTTTACAGTTTGGCTGATTTAACAGAAAGTTAATCGTATATTACATGGCTGCCAGCTGTAAAGGCCTTTCCACACTGAGCGCGATGCGAAAAAGCGAGGCGAATCGCCGACGAACGGTGCTTTCACACCGAATGTAAAACGAATGTTCGCCTTCTGCTAATTGCTTACCCACTTTAAGCCATCATCGAGTGCTTGTAATAACTTCCAATTGTGATCTATAGTTGACTTTGATTAATAAGCAGACACATGCACTCTTTGTATGTTTAATAACGCTACACTGCAAATATTTGTCATAAACATCCTTTATTGCTATAAAAATACCATGAGCTGCATATAAAACACATACAAAAAATATATCGTCACAATCATGTCTATTTGTTTTCATATGTGTAGAAAAAGAGTGAACGCGCTCTGACTCGTAACACTCGCGCTCGTGGAAGAAAACGGACGGTGCTCTACTGTGATTACATAATTCAGTGGACAATTAATAGAAATGTTATTCTGTATAAAGAACATGTGAGAATATATCTGTTCTCAAAGACCAATGATAACAAGAACTCCGCATCCACTCTCTTCTCTTATCCGGGATACTCTTCTTCGGTGTTTGTTTACACTGGTTTTCGAAACAGCGCCACCACTCTTGCCTTTTTGTGCACCAGCAGCTGCTCCGGTCACGTGATCCCAGCTCAAATCTTATTGGACGGCCCGTGTTTTCGCTTTGCGAAACTGAAAAGATTCGTCAGGCTGGTTAGAAAAAAAAACATTCGTATTTTCGTATTCTAATTCGTACCATTCGGTCTGGGTGGAAGCATCCATAGAAATCTATTGTTTTATTCCATTTCGCTTTTTCGCGCTCAGTGTGGAAAGGCCATAAAGGGGTGCTATTATGCTTTTTCACTTTTTCTTAGCTTTCTTGAGAGCCTGTTCTAGTACATCCCCAAAACAAAATCAAGACTTTGTAAAAGAGCATAATAGGACCCCTTTAACGCTCTTTCTCCTGCAGCATTCCAAAGGGAGTACTTTGCGCTGTGTCGCTAGGAGTCTGAGATATCAGGATCCTCTCGAGACCAATGTCTACATCCTCTGCGACTTGCGTAATAATACTCAGTCGTTGAGCGAGTAGACTTAAAATTGTGGAAACGATCACGATTCATCTGACTAATTAATATATTATGGGTTGAGGCTGAGTGCGCCGTTTTATTTAACAATTTTATCAATAAATCAAATGTGTTTTTCCATTAAATCAAGTGTGATTTTTTAAAAACACCATTAGCAGCATGAAGCATACAGGACATGTATTTTTTCTGCAATGTTTTCAGAATGGTGTGATATAATAAAATGCACTTTTCTCCCAGAGCTAAACTGGGCTGTAGACTTTGACCCAGAAACCCAACACAGCTGAACAGCCCTGATTTGCCAGCACTGTCTTACTGCTGCTTTTTATTTTTAAATTACCGTGACACAGCATATATTAGTCTCTATTAAACCACCTTTCCCTTATTTGGTCGAGTTACCCGTGCAGCAGTACAGCATCTGTACAGAGAGAGAATACTGCCCCTCTGTGGCTGCCACCGCAATTTACCTTTCACACACTGGCTGTTATATGTACAGGCTGAAAAATTTTTGCAGGATTGATGTACCCTCAAACAAACTTGATCATTTCAATCTAAGTGCTGTGATATCTACTTCCCAAGATGCTTATATTCAGCAAATTGTTTGGTTCTGTGGTCGTTAAATGTGATTCAGTGTGCCATGAATGTCCTGTAACTCTTGCCCTTGTGTTTGTGTTTTGGTGTGCAGGGGGACCTGAAGAGTTACATTTCTCAGCATGAATGGCTGTACAGAAATGGAGAACTGCTACAGCTGCAGAAAATGGCCTGCGAGATCGCCGCTGGGGTCACTCATATGCATAAACACAACTTCCTGCACAGGTTAACCATGCAAATATCACCTTCACTTCAATTTACATCTTAAAGATGCACATACATTACATTTCCATTTCATTTCTCATTGGTTTGACGATGCTTAACCTTTATGCAAACATCACACCAGCAACTCATGGCATCGATCTGAATGCGACCGTTGCAGCTGCACGTGTGTGTGTTTTGTCCAGCCTTTCCTCCTCTGCTCTGGCTGGCGTCTTTTTCCAAAAAAGGCCACAGCACTGTGAAAGGCAATGTTGCACTTTCATTCTTCCCCTTCCAGTCTTCTGGAGGAAGGCTGGGTTATCTAGGGTGTCTTGCCATGCCGAGCGCGTCTGTACCCTCACGCATGCTCAGAATAC